TTGAAGCTCTATTGAGGCTGCAATGAAGCTGTATTAAAGATGCACTGAAGCTGTATTGAAGCTACATTGAAGCTGTATTGAAGCTGCATTGCAGCTGCATTGAAGCTGTATTGAAGCTTCAGTGCCTTTTTGAGTTTCTTAGAATTTAGTAAGAACATGATGTTCACTGATTGTCGGTGGCAGGGAGAAAACTGCAGTCTTCCTTGAAGAAAACTGACTTCCCGAGGGGGACACATACTGCCATTTGAGAAACACTGGTAAATGGGTCAGGTCAACCATTTCTGCCATTCTCTGACTTTCAACATGATGACCTTCACAAGAACAGGTGAGTCCAGGTGGGTGGAGCAACTGAGTTACTGGTTAGACCTCTAACATGAACATATAAACACATCTATATTGGAGTGGTAAACAAATACAGTAAAACAGGGAATCGCGGTTTATCTGGAAAGAGGATGTTTACATTTCTCAACAGATTTCATTGAGTTGTTTTAATATTCTGAGGTTTATGATAAATGTGGAGCAGATGAAGAAAATGAAATCTGATGAGTGACAACAGTAACAGCAGTAACAGCAGCAACAGCAGTGACAGTAACAACAGTAAGAGAAGTAACAATAGTATCAGCAGTAACAATAGTAAAAGAAGTAACAGCAACAACAGTAACAGCAACAACAGTAACAACAGTAACAGCAATAAAATAAGTAACGACAGTAACAGCAGTATCAGCAGTAACAGTAACAACAGTAACAGCAATAAAATAAGTAACAGCAGCAACAGCAGTAACAGCAGTAACAGAAGTAACAGCAGTAACAGCAGTAACAGAAGTAACAGCAGTGACAACAGCGACAGCAGTAACAGCAGTAACAGAAGTGACAGCAGTAACAGCAGTAACAGAAGTAACAGCAGTGACAACAGTGACAACAGTGACAGCAGTAACAGCAGTAACAACAGTAACAACAGTAACAGAAGTAACAGCGGTGACAGCAGTAACAACAGTAACAGAAGTAACAACAGTAACAACAGTAACAGAAGTAACAGCGGTAACAGCGGTAACAGCAGTAACAACAGTAACAGCAGTAACAGAAGTAACAGCAGTGACAGCAGTAACAGAAGTAACAGCAGTAACAGTAACAGCAGCAACATAAGTAACAGCAGTAACAACAGTGACAGCAGTAACGACAGCAGTAACGACAGCAGTGACAGTAACAGTAACAGCAGTCACAACTGTAACAGAAGTAACAGCAATAACATCAGTGGGTGGCTGTGACAACTATAACAGAAGTAATAGCAGTAACAGCAGTGACAACAATGACAGCGGTAACAGGAGTAACAGCAGTAACAGAAGTAACAGCAGTAACAGTAACAGCAGCAATATAAGTAACAGCAGTAACAGCAGTGACAGCAGTAACAACAGCAGTGACAGTAACAGCAGTAAGAGAAGTAACAGCAGTAACAGCAGTAACAACGGTGACAGCAGTAACAACAGTAACAGCAGTAACAGTGACAGCAGCAACAGAAGTAACAGCAGTAACAGCAGTAACAGTAAAAGAAGTAACAGCAGTAACAGCAATAACAGTAACAACAGTAACAGCAATAAAAGAAGTAACAGCAGTAACAGCAGTGTTTCTTGACCCTGCCATGGTCTGTGCGCCATCAGAGCAAAAGCCCACGCAGTTTTCCCATTTAAGGCCGTGTTCTTGTCCATGATCTTAAATAGCTCATCAGCTGTGGCTCTATTTTTTACGTATTTGCAAAACAGCAAATCCTCGCACATGTAGGAGATGAACAAGCAGTCTTTATTGCTGTCAGTAGCTTCGTCCACTTGTAATGCAAAACGACTGTCTTTTAATTTTTCTATGAGTTGTTCCTCAAGATCACTTGAAATGTTGCATATACGTCTCGCAACTGTGTCGTTTGACAGGGGGACAGCTTTTAATTTTGCTGCGCTTGTCTCGTCATGCATAATTGACACCATGTCTAGAGCAGCGGGGAGAATGAGCTGCTCTGCAATTGTGTGAGGTTTTTTGCATTGTGCAATTCTGTATGCCACTCTATATGAAGCCATCTGTGCTTTACTGTTTACCGATGCAGCTTTTACCATGCGAGTCTCCTGTTGACGGTATTCTGCCAGTTGTCTTTGAAAGAAATCAAGTGGCTTATTGACGTGACTGGGGTGTGTGGTCTCTAGGTGTCTTCTTAGTTTGTTGGGTCTCATACTGTCTGCTGCTAGCGGTTTAAGACACAAAACACACATCGGTCTCTCCTCTGTCCCCACCACCGCTGCCGTGAATCCAAGAGCAAGACACCCTTCATCATATTTTCTTTTCGGTTGGCTTTTTGGTTGATTAGGCCCGTCTGGTTTGTGTCTCTCTGCTGACGCTGGCTCGACAACTTTTGAGGTCCGTGTCACAAATTTATCCATGTTGTGTTATTGCCCACAGTAGCCTGCTACCCATCGGCGCGAAACATAGATATTGAGCATAGCGTTAGTTCAGGCAGGGCACGAAGTCAGGCTTAGCTTACAGCTATATCATACAATCACAGCTAGTCATAAACATACATCAGCTGATTCCTCTAAGCTTCCCATTGGATACCATACACAGTCAGCTGACAGCTCACCTGATTTCCTCAAGCATCCAATTGGCAAACATCATGCATGGCGCCTTATTTAAGCTGCTTTAGCCTGCCTGCCTATCTCTGCTGCTCCTCTACAAGCCTTTTTGCCAGGATGTTGTGTGCGTTACTTGTGGTTTGTCGTTTGTTTCTATTTGTCCTGTCTGCGGTGAGTATGATGGCGGGTCGATTGCATTGTGAAGTCTCAGCAGCGATCTCGGCTGTTGGGGAGAGTGTCGCTTTTGAACAACATCCGCAGTTGTGTCCAGCTGCTCTGGTTCTGGGGGGTCTGCAGAAGGGGGGGGGGGAATTGCTCCTGCGGCTCCGCTGCGGTCCCGGCTCCGGCGCTGCGCTGCCTTCCAGGGGAGAGCGGGTCCCAGGCGCAGCGGCCGGCTCCATCTGTCTTGCTTGTCAGTTCTGTCCAACATCCGGTTGTCGCTTGCCGTCATGGGTTCAAGGGTCCAGCGTTCGGTTCGGCACGGCAGGCCGGCCAGTCTTCGTCCGCAGTTGGCCTGTGTCCCTCTTCGCTGTCTGCAGGTAGAGCGCATGGTCCCACAGCTGCAGCGCTGGACGATGACGTCACAGCAGCTTGTTTTGACGGCGTCACATTCCCGCCGAGAATGCTGGGAAGTGCAGTCCCAATCACCATAGGGAAGAATGTGCTGCCTCTCAAAAAGGGGGCATGAGAGATAAACCTTCAACCCCAGTAAACGTCCCTGAGCTGGGGAAGGAGCTAAGAAAGCATCTAAACACTGTTAGTGAATTATCTGTTTTAGGGCTGGTTCATGGTTCTTAGCTGGGCTGACTTTGCTTTGAAGAGCTGAGATAGTCGATGCTTTACTGAAGAAAGGATAACAAAAGGTTATATTGGTCCATTCATAAGTCGCCTTCTCAACAAGCATTAAGGTATAGCTACCAGGAAATATTCAGGGAAAATAAATAAACATAATTATTAATTTATCTGCTCTTGCAAAGGCGAAACTAAGGCATAAATAGTTTAAATCCTCTGGCACTTTTCCCTTATTTTATGCTATAATCTACAATGCCATCAGTTGATTAAGGAAGCATGTAGAGGCACATGGCTAGCCAAGGCACATGGCTAGCAAGGCAGATGTCACAGATGCATTTAAGTCATGCATTACACCTTCACATTGGCATCTGTTCGGTTTAAATTAAGAGAAATGTACTTCTCAGTTAGGCTCACCTTTGGTTGTTACAGCAGCCCCAATATTTGATACCTTATCAGAGGCTCTCTGCTGGATTCTTTTAAATAACTGCAACTGCTTCGTGCTCCATCTCGTAGACGATTTTCTGTTAGTTGACTATCAGTTCAAAAAATCAGACCATGCATTTTTGCTCTTAAATATACCTTTAAACATTAGGTCTTCCGCTATCCAAGGAGAAACATCAGGCCCTGTAAGGCTAGAGTTCTAGGCTTCACTCTAGATAGTGTATTGATGAAAAAATTGCATCAGAGAGGTAATGAAGTAGCAGGCAGTAGTAATTTCCAAAAGAGAACTGCTCTCCTTGCTTAGACATCTTAAATTGGCATGTGTGTTATTCCCCAGGGAAGTTCCCTTATATCCAGGCTTCTGGACCTCTCCGATTTATAGAGAACTCCATGATATGGTGAGCTTGGATGAGGGCTGCAGATCCGAGCCCCAGTCCTGATCTCTTCTGTGTGATAATGGTATGGCATCTCCTTCTTTTACAATGAGCAGCTAGAATCATCATTTGCCATTAATTATAAAAAGACGCAGCATATTGAGTACATATAAATGAATCGAACACTGTGTGCCAGTTCACCCTGGGAGCTTTATGTCAACAGCGAGGTCTAATAGTGTGACTGCTATGATCTACTAGATCACTAATGAACAGCTTTGCTGGGCTAAGAAGACAGAGAGCAGACATGAGGGGCATTTAGGGAAGAGCAATGGATCCACAAGATTTTCAGTGTTGTGTACAGAAATAATGGATATAATTAATTCAAACATACAGTAGAAGTGCCATGATTGACCTGTATGATAACCGCCCTTCCGTAGGTTTTGGGGGGGGTATTTTAATAATCAGTGGTTTGCAGACATATGGCTAAAATACTGTCATCCTTGCCAGCTAATGCCTCTTCTACCTTTTTAATGAATGTACCCAATTGTTGTTTCATGTTTCTGTGTGGAAAAGACTGGTCAAGGAAACAATCATGTTTTTGCGACAATGATGCAACTGCCAACATCATTTACAAGGGCGTTCTTCAGTTCCATTCATTAATTTTGTAAGGTGCCTCACTTGGTTATCTATGTTGGGTAAATTCATTATTAGAGCATCTCATATTCCAATCTTGGATAACATTGCTGATTTTTGTCCCGGTTTGAATTGCAGATTTCTGGGGATATCTCTAGTATACTTAGCCATGTACTTCAACTAGTGTCTGCTTAGACGTATTGGTTTATAGTCCTGCTGGCTCCTCTTACTGGCACTTCCATGTAGCTCATGGAAGGGAGGTTGCCTGGTGTGGTTCTTTGGGGGTCTCTGCTGCTGCTCTCCTTGTCTTAAGGTTTTCCACGTAGGCACGTGGAAGGACAAGGAGGTCCCATACAGAGCCACATCACTAAATATAACACTCTGTTTGGGAAATATGATTTTGCTGGCTTAATTTAAATACACTTCTAGCATAACTTCTTAGGGATCTCTTTATTAATCTTCAGCCAAGTTACTTTAACTAGTATCTGCATAAATTATTGGTTTTATTACTGTTATTTATTTCTTACAAAAAATTGCGCTGCTGGCTCCTCTTACTGGCACTTCCATGTAGCTCATGAAGGGAGGTTGCCTGGTATGGTTCTTTGGGGGTCTCTGCTGCCGCTCTCCTTGTCTTAAACTTTTCCATGTAGGCACATGGAAGGGCAGGGAGGTGTGCTCTCCGATCACAGCTAGTCATAAACATACATCAGCTGATTCCTCTAAGCTTCCCATTGGATACCATACACAGTCAGCTGACAGCTCACCTGATTTCCTCAAGCATCCAATTGGCAAACATCATGCATGGCGCCTTATTTAAGCTGCTTTAGCCTGCCTGCCTATCTCTGCTGCTCCTCTACAAGCCTTTTGCACCCACCTCCACCCCAGCTCCTCCTTTTTATGTTGTTTCTAATTAATCAATGTCATTTTCTGATTGCCATTGATGCTTGCTCTGTTCTGTACCCTGGGGGGTCTCTGCTGCCGCTCTTCTTGTCTTAAACTTTTCCATGTAGGCACATGGAAGGGCAAGGAGGTGTGCTCTCCCTGCCTTAAGGTTTTCCACGTAGGCACGTGGAAGGACAAGGAGGTCCCAGAACAGAGCCATACCGCCAAATGTAAATTCTGCTTGGACTATAAGATATTTTGACGAAAGTGGTCCTGACTGAAATATAAATATATATCTATGGGCGCGAAAGTTTGTTCCGCTACAATTAATATGCCGATGTCACGTCAATAATTATTTTGGCACTTCGGTTCCAGGTTACATTTTTCTCGGGGTCTCATATCTAATGTTCTATTAATTTAGACTGCATGTAGGCTAGTAATGATTACTTTGTTTGTGGGTGTTTTGTTTTGAATGTGTGATCTTTGTTGTCATTAAAGACAGGCGTTGATAAAGCAGACATCCCAACCTGCAAGAAGTCATTTCAGGGAGGTTCGTTCCGGGGGGGTGGGGGTGGGGAGGGGAATTCCTGTTACACTTGGTGTCACCTCCGGGGGTTATCAGTCTAATAAGCAGCAGCACACAGCTATAAGGACGGTTTACTCTCACACGTAGGGTGGCCATTCATCCGGCTTTAGGCCGGACAGTCCGGCTTTTAAATGCCTTGTCACTTATTTGTCCTCCTTTTGAGAAAATAACTTAAGTGACAAAAACAGGTTTATGTGTGTATGTCTGACAGCACCCCCTGCTGTTGTTTGTCTGTCAGCACATACAGCTGTTTCAGCTCCGCCCACCAGTTGCCACTGTGACGCCAGCAAGGCCGCAGCAACAGATTGTTGAGGAGAGCAGCGAGACACGCCCCCAGAGCAGGCCCCACCCAGAACACCTGCAGAATTTCAATTCAATTCAATTCAATTTTATTTGTATAGCGCCAATTCATAACAGAAGTTATCTCAGGACACTTTTCAAATAGGGCAGGTCTAGACCGAACTCTTTAACATTAATTACAGAGACCCAACAGTACCACCATGAGCAAGCACTTGGCGACAAGGGCAAGGAAAAACTGCCTGTTAAAAGGCAGAAACCTAGGACAGATCCTCCGGCTCTAGGTGGGTGGTCGTCTGTCTCGACCAGTTAGGGTGAGAGAGAGAGAGAGAGAGAGAGAGAGAGAGGCAGAGAGAGCGAGAGACAGACAGACAGACAGGTGCACAGCAACAACAGTATTGGCAATGGCAGTCAAGCAGGACCATGGCAGGAGGCTCCACCAGGATCCATGAGAACCTGCGAGACGAGAAAGCACAAGAACTCCGGGGAAGAAGTGGAGTTAGTAACATGCATTAATGGGACATGAATGAGTGCAGAAAGAGAGGAAGAGAGTAGCTCAGTGCATCATGGGAAATCCCCCGATAGGCCTATAGCAGCATAACTAAGGGATGGTTTAGGACACACCTGATCCAGCCCTAACTATAAGCTTTATCAAAGAGGAATGTCTTAAGCCTACTCTTGAATGTGGTGAGGGTGTCTGCCTCCCGAACCACAACTGGAAGCTGGTTCCACAGGAGAGGAGCTTGGTAACTGAAGGCTCTGGCTCCTGTTCTACTTTTAGAGACTATAGGAACCACAAGTAGCCCTGCATTTAGAGAATGTAATGTTCTAGTGGGATAATAGGGTACTATGAGCCCTTTAAGATATGAAGGGGCCTGACCATGAAGAGCTTTATAGGTGAGGAGGAGGATTTTAAATTCAATTCTACATTTTATAGGGAGCCAATGCAGAGTAGCTAGTACAGGAGAGATGTGATCTCTTTTTCTAGTTCCTGTCAGTACTTGTGCTGCAGCGTTCTGAATTAATTGGAGCGTTTTAATGGACTTATTGGGGCAACCTGATAATAAAGAGTTGCAGTAATCCAGCCTTGAAGTAACAAATGCATGGATTAGTTTTTCTGCATCTGTCTGTGATAGTATGTGTCTAATTTTTCTAATATTACGTAAATGAAAGAAGGCAGTCCTAGAGGTCTGCTTTATGTGGGAGTTAAATGACAAATCCTGATCAAACATAACTCCAAGATTCCTGACAGTGGTGCTAGAGGCCAAGTTAATGCCATCTAGAGTGACTATATCTTTAGACAGTGAGTCTCTAAGGTTTTTGGGGCCAAGAACAAGAATTTCGTTTTTTTCTGAGTTTAACATCAGAAAATTGCAGGTCATCCAGGATTTTATGTCCTTAAGATATGTTTGTAATTTAGATAATTGATTAATTTCATTGGGTTTGATTGATAGATATAACTGCGTATCATCTGCATAACAGTGAAAGTTAATGGAGTGATTCCTAATAATGTTGCCTAAAGGGAGCATATATAAAGTAAATAGTATTGGTCCAAGTACAGAACCTTGTGGAACTCCATGACTAACTTTAGTATTTATGGAGGATTCATCGTTAACATGTACAAACTGAGAACGATCTGATAAGTATGACTTAAACCAGCTTAGGGCAGTTCCTTTAATGCCAATTTGATGCTCAAGTCTCTGTAAAAGAATATCATGGTCAATGGTGTCAAATGCAGCACTAAGATCTAATAATACAAGTACAGAGACAAGTCCATTGTCAGAAGCAGTCAGAAGGTCATTATTAACTTTAACCAGAGCTGTCTCTGTGCTGTGATGAACTCTAAATCCTGACTGAAAATCCTCAAATAAACTATTGTTATGTAGAAATTCACACAACTCATTGGCGACTACTTTCTCCAGAATCTTAGAGAGGAAGGGGAGGTTAGAAATCGGTCTATAGTTGGCTAAAACCCCTGGGTCAAGAGTGGGCTTTTTAAGAAGGGGTTTAATTACAGCTACTTTAAAGGACTGTGGTACATATCCTGATAATAAAGAAAGATTAATCATATCCAGTAAAGAAGTGCCAATTAAGGGAACAACTTCTTTAAGCAGCCTAGTTGGGATCGGGTCTAATAGACAGGTTGATGAATAGAAGAACCGACCAATCAGAGCGCAGCCTGAGGGTGCGTGTATCTGTGTGTGTGTGTGTGTGTGTGTGTGTGTGTGTGTGTGTGTGTGTGCTGACCCAGTGGTTGTTGAAGTCGAGAGGGACGACAGCCGGACCGAACAACCTCGCTGGGTTCATCCCACAACTTGTCGCACTCACCTGAAGGAGAGAGACAGGTACAGAGAGAGAGACAGACATTATTGAATTAAATTCATTTAAATGATTAAATATTAAATTAGCCGTAAGATATCAGATGCTGTCAGCAGTAAACTGTCAGCTGTGTGCTGTTAGCTATTAGCTTTTAGCTTTTAGCTGTTGGCTTTTAGCTGTGTGCTGTTAGCTGTTAGCTTTTAGCTGTTAGCTCTGTGCTGTTAGCTGTAAACTGTGTGCTGTTAGCTGTTAGCTGTAAACTGTTAGCTCTGTACTGTTAGCTGTAAACTGTGTGCTGTTAGCTGTTAGCTGTAAACTGTTAGCTCTGTGCTGTTAGCTGTAAACTGTTAGCTGTGTGCTGTAAACTGTTAGCTGTAAACTGTAAACTGTTAGCTGTAAACTGTAAATTGTAAACTGTTAGTTGTAAACTGTTAGCTGTAAACTGTTAGCTGTAAGCTGTAAGCTGTAAACTGTAAACTGGAGGCTGTAAACTGTTAGCTGTAAACTGTAAACTGTAAGCTGTAAACTGTTAGCTGTAAACTGTAAACTGGAGGCTGTAAACTGTAAACTGTTAGCTGTAAACTGTTAGCTGTAAGCTGTAAGCTGTAAGCTGTAAACTGTAAGCTGTAAACTGTTAGCTGTAAACTGTTAGCTGTAAACTGTTAGCTGTAAATTGTAAACTATTAGCTGTAAACTGTTAGCTGTAAACTGTTAGCTGTAAATTGTAAACTGTTAGCTGTAAACTGTTAGCTGTAAACTGTTAGCTGTAAACTATAAACTGTAAGCTGTAAGCTGTAAACTGTAAATGATTAGCTGTGTACTGTTAGCTGTTAGCTGTAAGCTGTTAGCTGTAAGCTGTAAACTGTAGACTGTAAACTGTAGACTGTAAACTGTTAGCTGTGTGCTGTTAGCCGTTAGCTGTAAACAGTAAACTGTTGCTGTAAACTGTGCGCTAGTGGAAGGTATTCCATCCTCTGGTGGCGTAGCTCAGTTAGCATTGAGCACTGAATTGTTGCATGTTGATAAAATCAGAAAACAAAAGACAGAGAATGTAGTTTTGATATTTAATGATGTTCTTTGTCGTCGTGGAGACACGTTTAACCCCTGACCCCTGAGAGCCTGATAAATCAGCACAGGTGATGGGCAGGACTTACAGCCACCAGGTGACCCAGACTGACAGCCAGTCCGGCCCGCAGAGGAGACCCCACAGCCGCCCGGGGGATATCCACTGTTGCCAAAACAACCAGGACCAACTGGAGGGTAACCAATGTTTCCATGGCGACAGCCTGATGGAGCCGGACACCAGGGCGAACCTGAACAGACAGTAATAAGGTCACAGAATGCTAACCCTAACAGCTGACCAAACACATACAGCGCTGCCCGCCACAGGCGGAGCCTCAGTGTGAGGGCCATTGCTACGGTAACCGCCAGGTTCAAGAGAGTGCCCCCGCCCACACAGACTGCTGCCAGGGCAACAGACAGTCCAAATACCAGTGCCACCTGCAGAGGACAGGTAGGTGAAACAGGTAAGACAGACAGGGGGCTCAGGTGATAGGAAAATAGTGATAGGCTGGCAGACAAAAAGAGGGCGGTGCCTAAGGAGTCCAGCAGGAAGGAGTGCAGATGTCAGTCAGGATGAGACGCAGGTAACGAGGGACGAACATGACAACGACCTGCAACAGTTTTTTGTTTAATAGCAGTAACAGCATATTTATATTTATTTATTATTTATTATAACAAAACTTTATTTATCGATGTAATATTTACAGTAGTAAACAATCTCCAAACCTCCATAATATAATAATCAATCTGTATGATATGACATTTAAGATACATATCAATATATATCTATAGGTACTTATCAATATTTATTATAGATACATATCAATATTTGTCTCTAGCTTCTTATCAATATATATCTATAGCTACATATCAATATATATCTATAGCTACATATCAACATATATCTATAGGTACTTATCAATATTTATTTATAGATACATATCAATATATATCTATAGTTTATATCAATGTTTATCTATACGGAGGAGAAATGTAAACAGTGTGAGCAGAGGGACTGCAACAAATCAGAATAACAACAAATCATCCATACAATTCAATTCAATTCAATTCAATTTTATTTGTATAGCGCCAATTCATAACAGAAGTTATCTCAGGACACTTTTCAAATAGAGCAGGTCTAGACCGAACTCTTTAAAACATTATTTACAGAGACCCAACAGTACCACCATGAGCAAGACCTTGGAGACAAGGGCAAGGAAAAACTGCCTGTTAAAAGGCAGAAACCTAGGACAGATCCTTCGGCTCTAGGTGGGTGATCGTCTGTCTCGACCAGTTGGGGTGAGAGAGAGAGAGAGAGAGAGAGAGAGAGAGAGACAGACAGACAAACAACAATAAGAGAAAATGTGTTTGTATATCACGACCCACTGACTAATCAATCATTGTTTGTGAAGTTATTAATGGTTAATCAATCATTGTTTATGGAGTTATTAATGATTAATCAATCATTGTTTATGGAGATATTAATGGTTAATCAATCATTGTTTGTGAAGTTATTAATGGTTAATCAATCATTGTTTCTGGAATTATGAATGGTTAATCAATCATTGTTTATGGAGTTATTAATGGTTAATCAATCATTGTTTATGGAGTTATTAATGGTTAATCAATCATTTATTAAAACTTACATTAGTACAGTGAGTCTGGAGACAAACAATAACAACAACAAACAAACAAACAACAACAACAACAAGAACAGAATGTTAAATAAATAATTGTACCTGTCAGTCAGAAGGAAGTAGACCAGTGATTAATGCTCCAGGTCCAGGTGAGGTCCAGGTCCAGGTGAGGTTCAGGTCCAGGTAAGGTCCAGGTGAGTGTGTGTATCTCTTATAGAGCAGAGAGGCTGTAGTGACGTACAGTAGGGAGGTCTCTGACTGATCTGTACCTCAGTGGTCATGAAACAGATTCAATCATTAGAGATTTGAGAAGTTTTCAGACTGATGATGATCGAGGAAACTCTCCTGTCTGCAGTTCACACGAGTCCTGGAAAACCTGGAAAACCTGGAAATTTAGAGAGTTTCCCAGTGATGGACACATCTAAGAAGAGGCATTTCATGTGAAATAAAATTATTTCTACTGAATCGTCATCATTAAACAAGAGTTTATTGTTTTATTATTGTTATTGACCTACTGGTGCATCATTGTATATTTGTGTCCTGATGATCAATAATTAATAATTGAATCCAACACTGGAACCTGAACAGGATCGGTGTGTCTGTTGTTCAGTTGGAGGCTAAAGGGTCCTCACAAGTATAGAAGAGCTAATGTATCTCCATTCAGGGTCAGGAAGAGATACAATGAGACCGTCTGTCTGTCTGTCTGTCTGTCTGTCTGTCTGTCTGTCCTCCACACTGACACTGTGAGACAGTCAGAGACAGACAGGATGTGTGTGTGTTTGTGTGTCTATTAACACAGTCTCATGTTTCTGGAAGCAAACAGTTCTTCACTATCAATGAACAACCTTCAAACAGAAACACAGACACATTATACTGAATTCACCTGTTTGTCTGGACGTTGTCTGTTTGTCTGTCTGTCTGTCTGTCTGTCTGTCTGTCTGTCAATCCTCCACACTGACCTTTAGCTGTAAGGAATAACACACTCTACAGTCCTGCTGTAAGCATCAGACATGTTGTCAGTGGTTGAAGGTGCTTTCTGTGTCTGTTGGATCCAGAGGTTGTGAGATCGATTCCCACTTAGGGCAGCACTCAGTAAAGTCCCTGTATGATTGTATGAGACTAAAAACTGCTCACTGTCACTGCTGTCACTGTTAATGGTAAATGGACTGTACTTGTATAGTTTCCTGTCTTCTGACCAGTCAAAGCACTTTTACACTACATTCACCCTTTCACACCCATTCACTCAGTGATGGTAAAGTCCATCAGACAGAAAATAACTCATTCATACACATTCACAAACTGATGCACAGCATCGGGAGCAGTTCGGGGTTCCGTATCTTACTCAAGGATACGTCGACACTCTTACTGCTGTTACTGTTACTGCTGTTACTTCTGTTTCAGTTGTCAATGCTAGTACTGCTATTACTGCTGCCACTGCTGTTACTGCTATTACTTCTGTTACAGTTATCACAGCCGCCCACTGCTATTACTGCTATTACTTCTGTTACAGTTGTTACTGCTGTTACTGCTATTACTTCTGTTACAGTTGTTCCTGCTGTTACTGTTGTTACTGCTGTCACTGTTGTTACTGTTATTGCTGTTACTTCTTTTACTGTTACTGTTGTTATTGCTGTTACTTCTCTTACTGCTGTTACTGTCACTGCTGTTGTTACTGCTGTCACTGCTGTTACTTATGTTGCTGCTGTTACTGTTACTGCTGTTACTTCTGTTACTGCTGTTACTCCTGTTACCACTGTTACCACTGTCACTGTTGTCACTGCTGTTACTGCTGTTACTGCTGTTACTGCTATTACTTCTGTTACAGTTGTCACAGCCACCCACTGATGTTACTGCTATTACTTCTGTTACAGTTGTTACTGCTGTTACTGTCACTGTTGTTGTTACTGCTGTCACTGTTGTTCTGCGTTACATGTTGCTCATACGTTCGCGGTACTGTTACGCGTCACGCTGTTACCTGTTACTGCGTACTGTTACTGCTGTTACCGCTGTTACCGTTGTTACCGCTGTTACTTCTGTTACTGTTGTTACTGCTGTCACTGTTGTCACTGTTGTCACTGCTGTCACTACTGTTACTTCTGTTACTTCTGTTACTGCTGTCACTGCTGTCACTTCTGTTACTGCTGTTACTGCTATCACTGTTGTCACTGCTGTTACTGCTGTTACTGCTGTTACTTCTGTTACTGCTGTTACTGTTGTTACTGCTGTTTACTGTCTGTTACTGCTGTTACTGTTGTTACGGCTGTTACTGTTGTTACTTCTGTCACTGTTGTTACTATTTTTACTGCTGTTACTGCTGTTACTTCTGTTGCTGCTGTCACTGTTACTGCTGTCACTGTTGTTACTGCTTTTACTGCTGTTACTTCTTTTATCGCTGTTACTGTTGTTACTGTTATTGCTGTCACTGCTGTTACTTCTTTTACTGTTGTTACTGTTATTGCTGTTACTGCTGTTACTTCTTTTACTGTTACTGCTGTTACTGTTGTTACTGCTGTTACTGCTGTTACTTCTGTTGCTGCTGTTACTGTTACTGCTGTTACTTCTGTTACTGCTGTTACTCCTGTTACCGCTGTCACTGTTGTCACTGCTGTTACTGCTATTACTTCTGTTATAGTTGTCACAGCCACCCACTGATGTTACTGCTATTACTTCTGTTACCGCTGTCACTGTTGTCACTGCTGTTACTGTCACTGCTGTCGTTACTGCTGTTACTTCTGTTACTGCTTTTACTGTTGTTACTGCTGTTACTGCTGTTACCGCTGTAACCGTTGTCACCGCTGTTACCGTTGTTACCGCTGTTACTTCTGTTACTTCTGTTACTGCTGTCACTGCTGTCACTTCTGTTGCTGCTGTTACTTCTGTTACTGCTGTTACTGTTGTTACGGCTGTTACTGTTGTTACTTCTGTCACTGTTGTTACTATTTTTACTGCTGTTACTGCTGTTACTTCTGTTGCTGCTGTCACTGTTACTGCTGTCACTGTTGTTACTGCTTTTACTGCTGTTACTTCTTTTATTGCTGTTACTGTTGTTACTGTTATTGCTGTCACTGCTGTTACTTCTTTTACTGTTGTTACTGTTATTGCTGTTACTGCTGTTACTTCTTTTACTGTTACTGCTGTTACTGTTGTTACTGCTGTTACTGCTGTTACTTCTGTTGCTGCTGTTACTGTTACTGCTGTTACCTTTGTTACTGCTGTTACTCCAGGTTACCGCTGTCACTGTTGTTACTGCTGTTACTGCTGTTACTTCTGTTGCTGCTGTTACTGTTACTGCTGTTACTTCTGTTACTGCTGTTACTCCAGGTTACCGCTGTCACTGTTGTCACTGCTGTTACTGCTATTACTTCTGATATAGTTGTCACAGCCACCCACTGATGTTACTGCTATTACTTCTGTTACAGTTGTGACTGCTGTTACTGTCACTGCTGTCATTACTGCTGTCGTTACTGCTGTCACTGTTGTTACTGCTGTTACTTATGTTGCCGCTGTTACTGTTACTGCTGTTACTTCTGTTACTGCTGTTACTGCTGTTACTTATGTTGCCGCTGTTACTGTTACTGCTGTTACTTCTGTAACTGCTGTCACTGCTGTTACTGCTGCGATTAAATGCAAGTTATGACACAGCTGCACTTTTATTTTCTTTATTTTTGAACTTGCTGTTATTTGATGTAGATAGTTTGTATTCTATCTGAGTTCTTGTGCTTTCTCGTCTCACAGGTTCTTGACGATCCTGGTGGAGCCTCCTGCCATGGTCCTGCTAGGTTGCCATTGCCAATACTGTTGTTGCTGTGCACCTGTCTGTCTGTCTCTCTCTCTCTCTCTCTGCCTCTCTCTCTCTCTCTCTCTCTCTCACCCCAACTGGTCGAGACAGACGACCGCCCACCTAGAGCTGGAGGATCTGTGCTAGGTTTCTGCCTTTTAACAGGCAGTTTTTCCTTGCCCTTGTCGCCAAGTGCTTGCTCATGGTGGTACTGTTGGGTCTCTGTAATTAATGTTTTAAAGAGTTCGGTCTAGACCTGCTCTATTTGAAAAGTGTCCTGAGATAACTTCTGTTATGAATTGGCGCTATACAAATAAAATTGAATTGAATTGAATTGAATATTTAGATACAACTTGTTACTATACTGATACTACTTGTTACTTAAATAAATAGGAACATTTTAAGCTTGTTGCGTATTTCATAAGCATTATGTTGGGGCGATGGGGGCAGGTGGGGCTTGAAAATTCCCCCTTGTCCGAAGTGGGGAATGACCAAAAAAGTTTGAGAACCACTGCATTAGAGGAACCGACAGGAGGAACATTACAAAGTATAAATAATGAATGTTAGCAGAATCATCTTTATGGGTTGAAGTCTCTGTTCATTGATGCATTTGTCCCCATAATGTCTTTGAATGACTGACGTCCCACAATGTTCTTAACAACATACTCAGCATTTATTTTGTATTTGTATTACAAAATAAATATATCATTGTATTTTTTATATATTTTAGAAAAGTTAGTCAGTATTTTACAGTGAAATGTTTGTGTTATGATGTATTATTTCTGAAGCTGATGATGTTACAAACAAACAGTTTCCTGATGATAACATTTTTTATTGGACTGGAAAGGATCCCTACAGAGATAGACCTTTAGTTTAACCACAAACAGCCATAATATCACTATCACTCTCCACCAGACTCCAGAGACAGAAACACTCATTTTACCTTCAGATCATCGTAACTTCATTCAGAGTGGACAGAAACAGAACAGAACTCAGTCTTTGTTAGTCTTTCCAACAATAACCACTAAATGTTTACACAGCTACCAGCTGTTAGCTGCTGGATTCATGTTCTATATGACCTTTAATCCATTGAGATAAATGTTTCCGGTTTCTGCGGCAAAGAACGATATTTATTCAATAATATTTAATTAATATTTCATTTATTTGGCACAAACAGTTTGACCTGTTCCTTACAGGCATTTTATTTGTTTGTGTAAATCCTGTCAATAATCAATAAACAGCATTACTAAGTTAAGTATAAGTTACAGTCTGTGAATATGGAGGTTGTTTTCTGTCTGTGTGAAAGGAACGTACAGACAGAGACGTCCCTGAACTCACCACAGACCTTGAAATACAACTCCAGATACACATGCTTTTATTTTTAACTTCTATCAACAGGAAACAGCAGCAAAGTGGTTAAAGTGACACAGCCAGCTGTCAATCATCTGTCACACACACACACACACACACACACACACACACACACACAAATACACACACACACACACACACACACACACACACAACACACAGACACACAGACACACACACACACACACACACACACACAGGGGTTTATATATCAGGAAGGCTCCTATAACTGCTTCAGTCTGCACATAGAAAGTCAGACAGTGAGAGAGACAGTAATAGTCAGACAGACAGGTGTGATGTATGTGTTCAGGTGTGTCTGTGAGCTGCTGTGTGTGTGTGTGAGTGTGTGTGTGTGTTTGAACCTGTTAGATGAAGCTGTGACATTCAGTGGTCCGACAGGAAGTCTGTTTGGATTCTCAGTTGACTTTCACACCTTCAACAACAAGTAAGGAGCCTTTAATTAACTAAGAATTAACATTTAATTAACTCTTATTTAACATTTGATTAACTCTTAATTTGGGGCTTGAGACGAAGAACCATATAAGTCCATATTTTCAAATTTTGAATAATACATTTTTTTTTATTTGGACTGTGAACATTATATTATATATTTTTATTTTACTTGAATATAGACAACAAAAGCTTCCCAATTCTAATGAGATAAGATTTTTCAGTGTCAATCTTAAAAATAAAAAGTTAGAGTAATTTACATTTCTGGAATGTGGAAGAACGTTATATGTCCAGTTAATGTGGAATAACAGTATAAGTCCAATTCATCATATCACTTTAAACCACTGGAGATCTGATTCCTTTATCTTAGTTTTGATATAGTAACAGAACCTTAAAGAAAATATTAAGCATTTCTTTCTTTCAATTTATTTTGGGGTTTTTTGCTAACGTAAATCACAGAACAAATACAGACAATACAGTATGAACAATGAACAATACTTAGTACAGTATACAGTACAGACGATAAAAGTCAGTACAAACAATAAGCCGTACATACAATAAACAATACATACAAACAAACAATAAACAACAGTAAGAACAATTCAATTCAATTCAATTCAATTTTAATTTGTATAGCGCCAATTCATAACAGAAGTTATCTCAGGACACTTTTCAAATAGAGCAGGTCTAGACCGAACTCTTCATAAAATTATTTACAGAGACCAAACAGTACCACCATGAGCAAACACTTGGCGACAAGGGCAAGGAAAAACTGCCTGTTAAAAGGCAGAAACCTAGGACAGATCCTTCAGCTCTAGGTGGGCGGTCGAATGTCTCGACCAGCTGGGGTGAGAGAAAGAGAGAGAGAGAAAGAGAGAGACAGACAGACAGACAGGTGCTCAGCATCAACAGTATTGGTAATGGCAATCTAGCAGGACCATGGCAGGAGGCTCCACCAGGATTGATAAGAACCTGCGAGACGAGTAACACTAAACAATATATTTACAATACAGAGAATACAGTACAAACAATAAAAAGTATATATGTATATAACATATAAACAAAATATAAAATAGAGGCATACAAGATAACTTACAACTACTATTACGATTCATTTTACACAATATACCCCACCTTGTGGCATAAAATGCTTGGGCCTCCGCTGGCATGTAGGCTAGCATTGTCATAAGGTCACGGTGCTTCTCCTTCTTGACGGCCAGAGGGTCCTCGTAAGCTCGAGCGTACGTGGTGGAGAACAAGGGAGCTGGAGGTGGTTGATTCTTCCTTTGTTTGGTGATCAGCCAGGTCTTCCATCCCTCGTAGAGGCTGTGGCTCCCTTTTGTGTGGACACACCATGGATCAGCAGCTGAATGATGATTCAACAAGAAATTCAATAAAGATTCTTCCTTCACACACATATCCCCAACACTGTTAATTTCAGAAACCCAACTCTTTAGTTTTTTACCTTTTACTTTCAATCACATCATGGATGTGATTAGGAAGCCAGATGGATGGTTTAGTGTTGCATCAGGGAGCTGCCTGAAGTGCGCACATTTCATCTAGATGACTTTGAATGGATGCTGGTGCCTGGCTCCACAGATCATCTCGGCGACATCGCTGGGGGTGTAGAGAGTAGACACCTTACGCCTCTTCTCCAGCGTGGCAAAGGAACGGTCACAGGGAAGGAAGGAGTGACCAGACACTATGAACTTCTGCTCTATCTCACTGAAGTACCCTCTAGATACGAGCAGGGCCATGAGGTTTAGGATTCGCCAGTTGTTGTTCTGCCCACAGCATTGGTCACTATAGATGATGAGCTTCCGTTCCTTTGCCTGGACTAGGGGAGCGAAAGATGTTTCTTCCCACTTCAAAAGACAGCTTGCCACCTCAATTCAATTCAATTCAATTCAATTCAATTTTATTTGTATAGCGCCAATTCATAACAGAAGTTATCTCAGGACACTTTTCAAATAGAGCAGGTCTAGACCAAACTCTTTAAAACATTAATTACAGAGACCCAACAGTACCACCATGAGCAAGCACTTGGCGACAAGGGCAAGGAAAAACTGCCTGTTAAAAGGCAGAAACCTTGGACAGATCCTCGATGTAACCTCTATGAGCGATGCCCTCATGCCAGAGGCACATTGTAGGAGGATCGTCAGTGCCCATCTCCTGGATACAGAGGTTGTAGTTGGCCAGCTGTCGTTGATAATACACGTAGGAATGTGTCAGGTTTGGCGTGTACGCTGATTAAAAAGGAAATGGCGCTCTTCCAAATTATCAGAATATCACTCAATTTGGCAAGATAATCTTAAAACTTATAGAAATGCCCTCCGTAATGCCAGAGGAGCCTATTATTCAGCACTAATAGAAGAAAATAAGAATAACCCTAGGTTCCTCTTCAGCACTGTAGCCAGGCTGACAGAGAGTCACAGCTCTATTGAGCCACATATCCCCATAAACTTAAGTAGCAATGACTTCATGAGCTTCTTCTATAATGAAATTATTACTATTAGAGAGAAAATTAATCACCAACTGCCATCAACAGCTATCAGTGGCTCTCCAAGTTCAGGGACTTTTGCTAATGTAAACTTAGATATATATTTAGACTGTTTTTCTGCTATCGATCTTCATCAGTTAACTTCAGTAATTTCTTCATCGAAGCCATCAACCTGTCTGTTAGACCCGATCCCAACTAGGCTGCTTAAAGAAGTTGTTCCCTTAATTGGCACTTCTTTAATGGATACGATATATCTTTCTTTATTGTCAGGATATGTACCACAGTCCTTTAAAGTAGCTGTAATTAAACCCCTTCTTAAAAAGCCCACTCTTGATCCAGGGGTTTTAGCCAACTATAGACCAATCTCTAACCTCCCCTTCCTCTCTAAGATCGTGGAGAAAGTAGTCGCCAAACAGTTGTGTGACTTTCTACATAACAATAGTTTATTTGAGGATTTTCAGTCAGGATTTAGAGTTCATCATAGCACAGAGACAGCTCTGGTTAAAGTTAATAATGACCTTCTGATTGCTTCGTTCCACAAGGTTCTGTACTAGGACCAATACTGTTTACTTTATATATGCTCCCTTTAGGCAACATAATTAGGAATCACTCCATTAACTTTCACTGTTATGCAGATGATACGCAGTTATGTCTATCGATCAGGCCCGATGAAATTAATCAATTATCTAAATTGCAAACATGCCTTAAGGACATAAAATCCTGGATGAGCTGCAATTTTCTGATGTTAAAGACATCAAAAACCTTAGAGACTCACTGTCTAAAGATAAAGTTACTCTAGATGGCATTACCTTGGCCTCTAGCACCACTGTCAGGAATCTTGGAGTTATCTTTGATCAGGATTTGTCATTTAACTCCCACATAAAGCAGACCTCCAGGACTCCCTACTTTCATTTACGTAATATTACAAAAATCAGACACATCCTATCACAGACAGATGCAGAAAAACTAATCCATGCATTTGTTACTTCAAGGCCGGATTACTGCAACTCTTTATTATCAGGCTGCCCCAATAAGTCCATTAAAACGCTCCAATTAATTCAAAATGCTGCAGCATAAGTACTGACAGGAACTACAAAAAGAGATCTAAAAGCCTACTCTTGAATGTGGTGAGGGTGTCTGCCTCCCAAACCACAACTGGAAGCTGGTTCCACAGGAGAGGAGCTTGGTAACTGAAGGCTCTGGCTCCTGTTCTACTTTTAGAGACTATAGGAACCACAAGTAGCCCAGCATTCAGAGAACGTAGTGTTCTAGTGGGGTAATAGGGTACTATGAGCTCTTTAAGATATGAAGGGGCCTGACCATGAAGAGCGCTATAGGCGAGGAGGAGGATTTTAAATTCAATTCTACATTTTACAGGGAGCCAATGCAGAGAAGCTAGTACAGGAGAGATGTGATCTCTTTTTCTAGTTCCTGTCAGTACTCGTGCTGCAGCGTTCTGAATTAATTGGAGCGTTTTAATGGACTTATTGGGGCAACCTGATAATAAAGATTTGCAGTAATCTAGCCTTGAAGTAACAAATGCATGGATTAGTTTTTCTGCATCTGTCTGTGATAGGATGTGTCTAATTTTTCTAATATTACGTAAATGAAAGAAGGCGGTCCTAGAGGTCTGCTTTATGTGGGAGTTAAATGACAAATCCTACTCAAGAAACTCCAAGATTCCTGACAGTGGTGCTAGAGGCCAAGTTAATGCCATCTAGAGTGACTACATCTTTAGACAATGAGTCTCTAAGGTTTTTGGGGCCAAGAACAAGAATTTCTTTTTTTTCTGAGTTTAACATCAGAAAATTGCAGGTCATCCAGGATTTTATGTCCGTAAGACATGTTTGTAATTTAGATAATTGATTAATTTCATTGGGTTTGATTGATAGATATAACTGCGTATCATCTGCATAACAGTGAAAGTTAATGGAGTGATTCCTAATAATGTTGCCTAAAGGGAGCATATATAAAATAAATAGTATTGGCCCAAGTACAGAACCTTGTGGAACTCCATGACTAACTGTAGTATTTATTGAAGATTCATCGTTAACATGTACAAACTGCGAGCGATCTGATAAATATGACTTAAACCAGCTTAGTGCGGTTCCTTTAATGCCAATTAGATGCTCAAGTCTCTCTAAAAGAATATTATGGTCAATGGTGTCAAATGCAGCACTAAGATCTAATAATACAAGTACAGAGACAAGTCCATTGTCAGAAGCAGTCAGAAGGTCATTATTAACTTGAACCAGAGCTGTCTCTGTGCTATGATGAACTCTAAATCCTGACTGAAAATCCTCAATTAAACTATTGTTATGTAGAAAGTCACACAACTCTTTGGCGACTACTTTCTCCAGAATCTTAGAGAGGAAAGGGAGGTTAGAAATCGGTCTATAGTTGGCTAAAACCCCTGGGTCAAGAGTGGACTTTTTAAGAAGGGGTTTAATTACAGCTACTTTAAAGGACTGTGGTACATATCCTGATAATAAAGA